TCAACCAGCTGCCACAGCTAGAAAACAAAACAGATGATTTACATCTGAACCATCTCTGTGTGTTAACCTCAAGGTCCAAACTATAACAGGCCATCTTGGATTTAAAGATCCGAGTAGTGATACTCAAAAACCACTGCAGGTTTAGTACTGGGGCAGTGAACAGTAGTTTTAGAGTCCTGCTATAATGATTGCTCTGACAGATATGGCACACCGACAAACCTACCAATCAGGCAGAACTACAATAGCAGCTTGTAAACCTGAGCTACTTAAAAGGCTGGCCCTTCTCTGCCAAAGAACAAGGAAAAGCTCCATCTTGTACCAGACTGTTTATTTTCTCTTAAATCAAACCATAAGCTGTCTGGCTAAGGTGTCAAACCGAGAGTCAGACTGTCTAAACATACTGTTGACCCAACAAAAAGTCTAGACACAAAGCACAAATGGATCTGCTGAGTTTAGTCTCAAGGATGCCACAGTGCCCTGTTGTAGCTGTTTGTCTCCACAAGCAAACATGGAAAAGTGTCAGTGAAGGGCCATTAGTGTCTTTTCAAAGAGCTGGCTTTAAAAAGCAGTAAGAAACTTAAAAAGTACTACCACTTTGAACAATAGACTGAAAGTGGTCTGAATCTGTGTTGTTGATGGGAGAACAACAATACACACAACTGTGGCAACAAAATGTGTCAACATTTAAATGATAATAATACTGTTCTCTGTTGAATATGTCTGACTAACCCAAGAGTGTGTTTAGAGGTTGGTGGCTTATTTGTATCAGATCTCACTTATAATAATGTTGAGTGAGCACTTTTAGCATAGCTTTGTGATAATGCTAATAAGTTTAACTGTTAAGATAGCCAAAATACAAAAGCTTGTGCAATGTGGATTGTGTCATGGGTGCTAGCTATGCCATTCAAAACCTCGCACTACACGATGCACACACGATTAAGGCAAAACACAGGCCGATCCCCAAAACGGTTGCGCAACTGAAAAATCGGCTCTAAATGGGCCAAAAATCGCACAGTGTATGGCCAGCTTTTGGAGGCTAGCTCCAAACAAACATGGTAAATGGTAAATGGCCTGTATTTGTATGGCGCTTTTACTAGTCCCTAAGGACCCCAAAGCGCTTTACACGTCCAGTCATCCACCCATTCACACACACATTCACACACTGATCATAGTGTGCAGCTTGGCAGTGTATACAGCACTATAATGACCAGACCTAATTCTTTTGAAAACCTTACATCTTTCCCAGGTCTCCACTTCATCAAACATTGCCTAGACACAGAGCTGGATGAGGCCAGCACAAACAGCGGCCTATTCGACGAAGATGATGGATCCATGGGGTCAGGAAAGCCAGAAGCAGGGGAGCTGGAGAGGTACCTTTCGTGTCCATTCACTGGAGGTGTGGATCTATTGCATGGCTTTCCTCACATCAAGAAGCTGTCGATCAAAGTCAATACAGCTCTTCCTGCATCTGGAGCTTGTGAAGGATTCTTAGTCATGCAGGACTCCTGTTCACTGCTAAACAGTTACAGCTTCACAGAAAGAACCTTGAGAGCAAACTGCTGCTTAAGCTTAACCATCACCTCACTGAGTTAAGAAATGGCACATTTTTGCTAAATATGCAGAAATAAATGCACACCCATACAACTTATGGTAAACTGAGCTGCCTTGTATGAACATATGTTGAAGATGCCTCGTTCTAATGTTTTCTTTGAGGCTGCTGTGCCATTTGGAGCAAAAATGAATATAACGTTTACAGCATATCTTGTCACTGGAAATTGTTTGCACTGTTTATATATTTATATTATTTACTGTAGGTATTGGTGAAAAAAGCTTTATGTTGTGAAAAACTGAAATCTGGAAATTAGAATTGTTGTGCCTTATTTTGTTGATGTTTTTACATATATTCCTTTTGAAAATGGTAAAATTTGTATATTTATTTATATTTGTTTGTCTGGTAACATTTATTTAATAAATAAATCAGATATTTCAAACAGTTACTCACTACTTGAGTAGTCTTTTCGCCAAGTACTTTTTTTACTCTTACTTGAGTAACTTTTTTGACGACTACTTTTCACTTTTACTTGAGTAATAATTTTTTAAAGTAATGCTACTCGTACTTGAGTACAACTTTTGGATACTCGACCCACCAGAAGGATACATGATCTATTAAGCCTCAGCATTTGAAAGCTCTCTTAATCACAATGCATTCTTACCTGCATTGTCATGGCCATGCACATATGCACCACACAGTGATTACACTTCATTGCCTGCCTATTTGTCAAAGTTCTATTTAAGCATATCTACTTTCACAAGAGTCACAAAATTTTCAGAAAATTTGACCTCTGACCTTGACGTCAGGTCACCCAAACTAGAACTCGTCCCAGATTTTTACTAGATGCCACTATAGTATCAGTGTGAAAATCCGAGGTACCCAAGAAAAAAGACAAGTGGTCACATTCTACATAAAGAGGCTGAAAAAAGGAGATAAAAAAAAAATGAAGGGAAATAAACAAAGTTGGCTGCATTAAAATCAGTAAGAAACAATGAGTCTGGGATGGTGGACATACACTATTTTCATACACCAAACAAGTGCAAGCAACAGGAACTGTGCACTGTACTGCAAAGCAAGTTCAACATACCCAGGTTATCTTTCTGTTATCGGGCTTCACTTACTGTAACATCGGCAGTCAGGCTAAGGGGTTACATCACTGTACTGACTTAGCAAGTTGATAACCATGGGTTTTCTTAATGCGTACCTTCACACAAAATAGGTGGCAATGCCAGTCTCTGGCCATCAAAAACATTACAGCAATTGTTGTGAAACTGTTTGCAGGAAAGAGGGAAAAAAATCTTAATCATACTTAAGCATGTGGACCAGAGTACTCGGGGATGGATCCCAGGAAAATATTTGCTGAGATCACTGATCAAGTGCAAGTCAGTATACTTATTTTACAACTAGATTTCTTTTTGAAACCAGAGAACTCACCATTTGCTGGCCACTGGGAAGAATATAAGCTTAAGGCATCCAACATTAGCTTAACCTTCCAGACTGGGAAGCTACTTCCATCTTTTATATATAATCTATTGGTCTAATCAGTACATCCATTGTTTTCCCAAAGACATGTCTAAAGCACTACACAGCTTCGTAAGTCAAAATCCACTGGGGCTGCTTTCTGCACGCTCTGCTGTCAGTGTTGACACCAAGCCCCTGGGAAGATGGTGATTATATGTGCTTGAGTTCATTAGCAATATGCACAGGCCAGCTGGTGACCTCCAGTTAAAGTCCTGCACTTTTCAGACCTTGCGTGTTAAAAAGGTGTTGATTACCTAAGGGGTTAAAATGAATAACCCTAGCAAAGAACAAGGAATTCTTTATAACCAGTATTTCACCTTTGCTTTAATAAAGCCTGACTTTTTTTGTCTCTATAGTTAACCCAGCAGCACCATGATCCCAAGTGTTCTTTGGGAACACTCTTTTGAAATGACTTGGTTATCTTAGGTCATGTTTGTGAATAAAGACTTGCATGAGCTATGTTTACCCCTGATGTCAGCAGGCAGCAGTTAGTTTCCACTGTTAAAACTCCATAGTCCAGAGTGCCGTAATACTGTAAAGTGTACTATTATGTCTTCTCTTTTCATTGTTCTCAATGGCAGTTAGCTTTAAAGAGCCAGTGCACGTATAGCCCACGCTGGTTATTTTAAGTAATTTGGCAGATAAGACCTCTCCTCAAGGCCGTGTGGGTATACACACACACACACACACACACACACACACACACACACACACACACACACACACACACACACACACACACACACA